GTTAGAACATTAAATGTCCCGAACTTTCCATGAACCGGATTTTTTCGTCGAACCTCAAAGTTCGGCTGGGTCGACGAAGCTTCGACCTTGAAACCCGATTCTACAAGGTTAGACTTTCTGGGCAGTGTAGTTAGACTTCGATACAAGCATGACTAGGTTTCGAAAAAATGTTTTTACGAAATTGTTTGTTTTATTTTATAAATCAACGGAAGATATTTTATTAACTTAAAAGTTAATAGCATAATTTAAATACTGCTATCTTACAAAAACAACTAAACTGTTCTGCCCTTACTAAATGTAGAATGTATGACTTGATCCTTTAGTGATCACCATCCAATATAAACTCAACTTATACAGCCCTTTGAGCATTCGAATAACAGTCAAACCCCAGTCAAACTTTCTCGACCTTATAATAAAAGTTTGAACAAGTTGAACCTGGTCGAATTTGCACTTCAACCGGTTCGCGACACCCCTATTTGCCTCGCCATGTGGCATTAAATGGTAACTCCTGACGATTTTTTATACCCTTCAATGTTGCTGCAAATTGGCAGACCGCATTAACATTCCTTTCTCAACTGATAGCAAAAACACTTTATAAATCCAAAATTCTTCTTTGAAGATTTTGAATTTTGAAATTACGCCGGTCTCGAGGGCTTCCAGGAGGCGACTCTCTACTGGAAACAAAAAACAATCCCTACTTTTCGATACCCACGCAGGTCACCGGCGGGCAGGCGGACAAGCCACCAGGGCAGTCGCGAAGTGGCTTTCCGGGCGCCAGCGATCGAGAATATTAATCCGAAAGCGTTAACTGGTCCATGGTGCGAGCCAACGTCGTCAGCCGCGCCAAACGGCAGATAAATTACTGAAGCCGCGATTTGAGGCATCCCAGCTTTGAAATTTCGCAGGAAGCCACGCAAAATGGCAGTGATATGAAGCCGCCGGGCGTCAGTTCCAATTAGTGCCTCCCCATGGAGCTGCGTGTCCTTGAGGCAGGGGCTCTTGGAGCACTGCACGGGCCAGAATTTGTAGGCCCGGTAGGGACACGGCCCGGGCCCGGCCCGAACCTGACATAATATTTAATTTCTAGGCCCGCCCCGACCCGGACCGGCAGAGACACTGCCCGGGCCAGACCTGGGCCCGGCTGAAGTTTTAGACAGAAGCTCAAGCCGGGACTGAACCTGACAATTTTTTTTTCATTTAATGTAAGCATAACCCCGGTGTGAGCCCGACGAATTATATTCATGAGCCCGAAAAAGTTTTGATGCTTTAGCCTAAAGACTTTCTAAGCATAAAACGAGAATATTTCATTTAAAATTCTTTTATTCTTAAACCGTTTTTTGCACAATAAATAATTAGACTATGCATTTGCGAAAATATGCATGAAATATGCACTTCATAAATCATTTTGAGAGAAAAAAAATCTGAAATATTTTATTTACTGTATGCATCTGTATACATTTCTTCAAGAGATATTGGACTTTTCGTTGTTCAATTCGTTCCACAGAGAACTTTCCTCTCCGTGTTTTTGTGAAGAAACTAGCAGCATCACTCTAATGCATATTCAAAAGGCTGTATAAGCATAAAACTTTTAATGGTAGTTAGCTTATCTTTGGGGGCACAGTACAGTGTAAAGTGCAAATCAAGCTTAAAGGACACATGCAAAGGGAAAAAAACATTTTTTTAAACGGCTTAGATAGAAAAAGGACGCCATAAAACGATTTTACAACGAAGAAAAACATTTTAGAGCTATATTTACGGCGCAAAACGAATTTGTAGTTTGCGCCCGCGGACACCGCGGAAAAATAGTCCGTATTTATCACGTGACAAGTCCTTATTTATGACGTGGAGCTTGCGCTCTTTCGAAAGCTTTCTGTGGTCTTTGAAAGTTATTTATTTTCTTCATTTTTTTCTTGCACTTCTTTTATAACAAAATATTTTGACTTCTGGGAAACTTCAAGTATAAGAAAATCATCACTTCCATTTTGACGCTTGCGAAACCAAACAAAGACCGCCATCTTTTCTGCGAAGGGGCGCGGAGCGCGGTCGGCGCGGTGTTGTTTGGGACCAAAGGAGGCGTTGTTGTGACATGCCGGTTCAACGAAAGCGACGCCGCTGCTCGACGATAGGCTGCAGTTCTCGTGATCGAGACCAACAGGAGGATTTCAGTAAACATGGGGTACCGGCGGACGAGCATTTGAGAGCGATCTGGCTAGAGGCGATCGGGCGTACGTCTGGCACGCCTGGCGAGAAGAATGTCAGGGTGTGTTCTCGTCACTTCGCCCCGGAGGCCTTCGAGCCACGCTGCGAGCGAACCCAACGCGCGACTTTAAAGCCAGGGACGGTCCCAACGCTTTTCTTGCCGACGCCAACAGCAGCAACGGCTCCGTCACCGGTAAGTGAGGCACAGTCAAACTTCCAATGTTTGTAACGCTTCGCGAAAAGGCAGTTTCTATTCTATCGGCAGCCGGCAAAAACAATTCCCCTGAAATTCTGCCGGCAGCTACCTCCCACTAGCTTTCTGAAGGCATGTGGCAACTGCCGGGGGAATATTCGCATCTCGAAAAATCGCGTCTCGTCGATTCGTCGAGTGACGAGACCAGCGACAGCGACGAGAATCCGCTGTCGTGCATCAGGGCAAACCGCACGACAAGCGGCGGAGCAAGCGACCACGGGACATGAACCATGTTTTTTTTACAAATCTGGAAACCGGGCGGGGCGACAAGCGACACTCAAAAATGTCCGTCGCTCGTTGCTAACCTGTCGCCTGTCGTCGTCGCTCGCTAAATCCCTTACATTCGATTCAGTTCGAAACGACACGTGTGTTTCGGCAACATAAATGGTTCATCAATACTCGTTATAAGTTGCAGGCTTCCTTCCTTTTCAACATTTCTCTCTCTCGACACTCGTTAAGCGAATTGCACGCTGTAGGGACATTTCGTCGTGCGTGTACCACTGGATATTACTTTTCCCTCTGTAAAAAAAAAAAAAATAGCCACTACCATAAAAAAAGCGATTTTACAGTGTAGTTTTCATTAAAAGCTCCTGATGACGCCCTTATATTCTTTTAACGCCAATAAACTCGTTCTAGTTAATAGCTTCACATTTAAATCAGACACAGGTCACAGAAATAACCTACCACTGCCCACTTTTACACGTCCCACCAGCTGCCAACGGGATGAAGCGGCTCAAAAAGCCCAGCAGCTGCACCTAGCTGCGCCAGTCTTCTTGGAGGCTTCACTCCTGTAAGCTACAGGCATTTTTCTTTTCTGTACTTTGCTCACCTCTGCAGCTGACAATGAGTGCAGTTGCCAGTAAGGAAAACTCAATCTCTTGCAATTTGTGTTGTAGTCTTACTGCTGCACGTGTTCTGTGCCTGGTACAACCGTTGGCACCCAGACAGACAGCGAACAAAAGGAAGCTGCCGAGCCTGTAGCACCCATCTGCGAGTGTGACCGAATATTTGATGAATGGTAGTTTATCAACCTAGGCAGTACTCGGTGTGTATATCACATTGCGCTTGAGATGTGTATCATATTGCCGCATGCATGACCGAGAAGGAACGCTTCGCCGTAAATCTAGAAGATTCATGTTTATTCTTGCCCTGAGTGTAGGATACAAGGAGCCGGGCACGGCTATGCCGATTCACTGGTGGTATATTCGGTTGATCCTTTTCAAGCGCTCCAATTCTCCGTGTCGGATCTGCCAAATCCGAGAGTACCTACGAATCCAAGCTGGAAGAACGGCATTCCAGCTGACTGCATGGCAACTTTTCTGAGCGGCCGGAGCGCCGATACAGAATAGGATTCCGAGGGCAACTTCCAGAACCTCTGCACTGCCATGGCGCAAGCTACCGCTTCATACAAAGGGTTTAGCCAAAACGATTTATCCATGCAGCGACTCGTAGCACCTGACAGCGCTACGAGTCAGAGGATGGTGCGATTTGAATATCTAAGAGCGCTCTGAGAGAACCAGGCAACATACTTAGAGCGACTCACTTCGGCCAGTCGAATGGGCACCGGCTTTTCAGAGTGCCCCAAGGGGCTGAAAATTCATCAGCTGAATATACCAGCAAATTTTCCCTTCAACGAGGCACATTCACTCACGCGCTAGCCGGCCTTTGTTCTTCCTTTTGTTTTTGGCACAATTGCGCTAAACCTTCATTTTTAGTTCATTGTCTCGTCGCTTTCATCCGTGGCAATATCTCCAGGTACACAGGTCGACCAAAAGTGCAGTGCTGCAGCACTCTCATCGCAGCAAGGTGCAGAGTCCCCAGGAGCATCGCCTGGACCATCAGAGCCTACCACGGAGCTTCAGTCTGGCCGAGCTCTGCAAGCAAGGCTGCCATCACCCATCCCTAGGTCGGCCTCCAGCTTGCAAGTCCCGGACCAACTGAGCAATCAAACTGACAACAGCCGTCGCAGGTCGACACCTATACCACCTGAGGGCAAGAACAGTGAAGGCCAGGTAAGCTCCAGTGATGTACTTGATGGGCCTTGGTATGCAGGCAGCGATCGTGAGCAGGAGGACTCGTCAGATGAATCCAGTGACACCGACATTGACGTGAGCATCGACAGTGACATGAGCATCGACAGTGATATGAGCACCGACCTGGAGGAAGAGTCAAACGTAGCTTCCGAACATTGGAGCGACATTGACTTGGGTGAGGAGGCGCACAAGCCTCATAGACGAAGAGATAAATGCCACACTACGGCCGGTTTGCTTTAAAGATGACCACAATTAAAACCCAACTCGGCTAGTTGGATAGATATTTTTGGGACATCACTGACAGAGATGAGACGTCGGGAATAAATGGAAGCAACTGAGTACAGTTAACTTTCAACCGCAATTAAAGTTAACCGAGCTTCAAGCAAACCAGCTCGGACGGGTTCTTATGATTAGAGGCAAATGCTGGTCACAAATTTACCCTTCAAAAACGCAAAATTTTGCCCAGGATCACCTTTCTCATTATGATCCTGGGCCAACTCTTGACGATATTAAACATGTTTACATTGCAGGTGCTGATACGGAGGAGTCTGTTCTCGTGGTGAGCCCGACAGCAGCTATGTGCTCTCTGTAGACGAAAGCTTCCTGAGGTAATACTTCAGAAGAATCTCCAGTGTGTGTTACAGTCGTGTTTACATTTTTAGTGACCAACAGGACCCCGAGAAGGTGCCCTCACATAAGGAGCGCAAGTTCATTATCTTTGAGGACTGCCTCTTGGAGCGCTTCCGGGTGTGCCGCAAGTGCTTTGCCCCTTGCCGCAACACCACTGCAGTCAGCGGCACTCTACTAACGATAACAAGCACCTGTACCAACGAGCACAAAGAAACATGGAGGAGCCAGCCAAAGGTGGGTAACAAAGCAGCAGGCAATCCATTGATTTGTGCGGCCATTCTCTTTTCAGGCGCCGATGTTGCCACTACCTTGAGGTTGCTGAGGTCCATCAACATCTCAACCATCTTGGACCGCCTCTATTACTACTACCAGGAGGGTTACCTGCTGTCTGCCGTGAAACTGGTCAGTTAGGAAGTGGCTTCATAAATTAAGAGTGGCATTTAAAAAGCATATTTGCTTGCCAAGTGTACGAGCGACGCAACACCGAGCTCCTGGAAGGACTACGAGGCAAGGCCATCGACCTGGCTTGTGACGGGCGCTGTGACTCGCCAGGGTTCTCAGCGAAGTACTGTACTTACACCTTTCACGAGGCGACCACCAAAAAAATCATCCACATGGAGCAGGTACAGGTTGGTGAGGTAAGATTTACTAATGAAGGCAAAGGAGGTTACTATATACTGATATGCCCCTTATTTACAATCACTTGCCTTTGATAATCCTTTTATGTCGGAGTACAGTGACTGCTGAGCCATTAAATGTATACATATTGGTGTCAGTCTGATGAAGTGGCCTCAAGCAACGCCACGGAGAAGGTGGCCTTCGTCCGTGGTTTCAACAAGCTCAAAGATCAAGGCTTTACGATTAGCTCTTTCACGTCAGGTATGTAAAAATTGCCAGATAGATTGCCAGCTCATTTGTTCTTTTCAGGCTCTGTACCAAACAAACCCTTATGCAGACCGTCACCCGGGTGTGCAGCACCACATGAGGACCCTGGAGAGTGGCACAGCACACTACTTTGACACGTGGCACCTTTCAAAAAGTTTGTGGAGTGAGTTGTTATTAGTGATTTCCTATATGGGAATGTCCAGGTCGAGGCATAGCTAAAAAACAAACACTTTTCAAGGTGTGAAGAAGCTCCAGGCAGCCAGTCGGAGTGGCCTCTGCAAGGAATTGGAGGTGTGGGTCCAGCCTGTCACCAATCACCTTTATTTCTGTGCCATGATGGGGGACTGCAACGGCCCACTTCTGGTGAGTATGTGACTGAGCCTTCTTAATCATGTGGTGAACAAGCACAGCGGCCATGGTGGACCTTACGACGAGTGCCTGCACCAGCCACTCACTGATCGCTCTTGGCTAGTTGTGAGTAAGTTCAGTATTCAATAAATTTTTCATATAACCCTTTTGTGATTTTGATAGGGACAAGAATAGATACAGTATTTGTCAACAATATTTGCCAAAGCTGTGTACTGATTCCAGGCTCACCAGCTTACAACAAGCTCCGGAGCATCATTTCTAACCCCCGGCTCATCAAGGACATCCAGCACCTGTCGTCTGGGTCCCAAACATACTCTGTAGAATCCTTCAACAGCGTGCTCATTAAATTTGCCTCCAAGTCTCGGGCATTCAGTCCAGAAGGAATGATGGCAAGGTGAATCAATGTTTACCGGAACTTTATCTGCACCTTTATGATCGACCCTTTTCTGCCACACTTCCCAGTAGCACATGGGTTCTTGGAGCACCAAAACTTCCTCAAGCAAAGTCATCTTGCATCTAGTTTGTTGCTTATCTATCCGTGTTCCCTCGACCTTACATTTTCTATATTGGTGAGGAGATCGAACAATAGGGGTGCAGTTTCATTATCATCATCATTTCCACAAACAATCTCTGTGTGATAAACAAGTCCGGTGCTAGCACTCGCCTAGCGTACACCGCATCATTTATGAGCTTGCTGCATAATTGTTTGCAGCGATATGGTGCACACTTGCTGAATACCACAGTGCTTGAAACATGCTTTTGAACTGGATATATGCAGTGCAGAGTACTGTAGCACGTACACGACGATGCAGAGTACACTGTCCATCGTCGACTCTAGTGCAATGCTGCACTCATGACATGATTACAGTTGAGCATGTCCTCTCCTTCAACGAGACACTGCTTGCATGTCTGAAGAGACAGGGAAACTGAAAAGAAGTATGTATTTTGCGAATCATCCAGCAAACCATAGATGCCACGCCGACCACGCACAATCCAGCGTGGAGGGAGGCTCGTAGGGCTGAAGCCCCATAAGCCTCTCCCCTGGGTACGCCGCTGCAACACATGCACTTGTTTTGCCTTTCAAGATGCAAGAGGAGACTATATTACCTTTCTGAATGCGTTAGGGAGAAAGTATTACTGTTATGTATCTTGCACTAGACTTGTGTCGGTTGTCTTCCATGGCAGCGAATGCATTGATGACTGCTGTCAAAGGGTTTGTTTGCCACACAGGTTTGGTGGCCGCTAGGGAGCGCCACTCCTCGCTCTTCTCTCCAATAGTCCCAGCCACTCGGCAGAGGTCTTGAAAGCATCATTCAAAGGCTCTAAATGCAGGGATTCGTTTTGCAGCCTTATTTTGAACCCGATAACTATATTGTCTGTTTTCAATCCAGGACCCTGGTGGCAGTGCTCCACTTTAATGAAAATGTTGGGCGCGAGTAAGCTGTAACCAAGGAAAGGGAACCATGCTTCAGGCTGGTGTCATCCAAAGCACACAAGGGCAGACACACAGTGACAGAAAATAAAAGCAACTCAACTTTCCGTATGTCATTGCTCAAACGCTTTTTTTTTTAAATTCTTAAATTGAAGTATTGACTTCTAGGGTACCGCGAGACCTACTGCTTGGAAAAATGGCCGACCTCCAAGGAGTCCCGCAAGGCGGATGTGTCGCATCCTCCTCCGCCGATGTGTGCCAAGTATCCAAGGCCACCAAAGAGTGACCTGTCTGCGGCCAGACAGTCACGCTTCGCCTCTCGTGCTCGGTATGTTTCCGCAAGTTCTGCAAATTTGCTGATATTGACGAAGCTTGTTAAAGAAATGTCAATGGCCTAACCGCCTTTTGGTTACAATAACACGAATAATGTTTCTTGTGTAGTCACATTTCCCACTTTTGTATGGCTGTCTGTTTAACTCTTGTAGGAGATAATTGCCATTACAAACAATTTTGTGACTTATACTTGAAACTTACCCTAGAGATCTTCTCACGAAGAGACATGAAGCGCCTGCGTCCCTCTGCCATTGCCTTGTCCATAACTAAAAGGTAGGTAGCACGAAATAAGATTATTTTTTAGGTTCTGCAGGATGCAAGGATGTGTCCACATTGGCGAGGAGAGGCGCACCAAGTGCGCCTCTCCTCGCGCACTTGGTGTGGTGTACAGCAGAGAGGACACAGTACTAAAGCGCCGTTCACACATTGCAACTCAGTAAGACCGAGAGAGAGAAGACCGGTTTTTAAGCCTCTTAGGACGTCTTAGAACCAGCTCCGCAGCAGCGTATCCGGTCCTAAGATGCCGCAGAAGGCTTAAAAACCGGTCTTGTCTCTCTCCATCCTACTCGGTCGCAAGTGTGTGAACGGTACTTAAGAATTCAGCGCCGTTCTCTATATTGCCTACAGCATGAGGGTGACCGAGCTAAGAAATATGGAACCGAGACAAAGAAAGACCCACAAGTGAACATAAAGCACAGGCTTAGGGGGTGGGTAGTCGAAATGTCGGTACTCCTTGGATGGAAATGCCTCCCGGATAGCTTGGACGACGCAGGAGGGCAAGACCTTCCGGTTTCCCTTCCCCAGCTTCTTCCAGATCCACCGTGCAAACTGGCGGTATGCCACATACCTGAATTTTCTGTTGAATAAATAGAAGGATGGCATAGGTTATAGATTACGGCAATATCAATTTCACTCAGGTAATGCAGTACAATGGGGTCAAATTTGATAAGCATTTGCTAGAATTGGGTTCCCCTAATACACTGAATTTAGTAAGCTTGTCGGCGTTCAATGTCGCATATCCACCAACAAAGTTCATGTTCAATAAAACTCTACTTGTTATTTGGAGTGCGGAAGTTAATTCATGCAACCTGATATACCGACGGCTGAATAAGCATTTCTTTCGAACGCAAGAGTGATGCACCTTACCCACTGAAATTGTTTCTGCAATTATATAGGCACCATACGACTATTCAGCGAAGTTTTCTATAATAGCTGCACGCCAGCTAAAGCTGGCTGAACATCAGCAGGCATGCTGCTATCATAGGAGAGTTGTGAGATCTGAGAAAAAAGAAATTTGAGTATCATATGCTTATCGATGGAAACTTTCTTTTTTGCTGATATTTTGCAATATGATCTACTCTAAGAAAGTCGTACTTGTGGGTACTTCTTTGTCCTGTGAGTTCCCTATCGTTTAGTTCCATCGCCCTCATGCTGTATTCGATCTGGAGGACGACGGGATTTAAGATGGCACCAAAAAAGTCCTTGTGCCTGGTGATGCACCTGGCACCTGCCTTGGCGGCGATCTTCTCCACCTCAATGCAGCAGAGGCATTCTCGAGAACTGGCCATTACCTGACACTGGCCACAACTGCACCTTCAGTGAGATATTGCATGAGTTAATACCAGCACCACAGTGATCAACACGATACAGATTGACTTGCTTTCAAACTTTGCGAATAGACCTTTTCGGAAATATGAAGTGCCCCCAGCGTCTACTTTACGCGTTGTGACGTTCAGATCTACGGCACGTGAAATTATCCTAGAAGCGAAGACGAAGTTGACGTTTGTTTAACAGTTTGTGATTTCAGAACGCAGAAGTCAGGCAAAACAGACTATGTGCTTACCTTCTTTTGCATTCGCTTTATTTGTTTTTTTATTATTACGTTCCAAGCTCCTGACGATAAAAAATGGGAGTTTTTGTAATGGTTTTTGCCGTCCCGCAATGCTCTCCACAAACCGCTACGATCGCCGGAACTGTACACACAACGCCATCGATGCGCAGGCGCAGTAGCGGCTTCTTTGTTGCGGGGAGCTTGACAGAGGGAGAAACGCGGCCTATGAAAGGTCTAATGAATCTACCGCTACCAGCATATACAAACCGTCTGAGCCGGTACTAACGTGCATCCGAACAGCCCCTCAATTTCCCTCGTTGCAAGGTCTGGGATGTTCCGTAAAGGTCTATTGCGGTGCCTCAAAGGCCAGACCAAACGCCAATTCCTGTCCTCTCTTTGTAGCTGCTACAGAAAGTTTACACCAAGTGAGTGCCCGAAATTTTACATGAAATACTGGAGATCTAGAAGCCCTGAAATGAGTTTAGAACACACAAAATTACAGAAATCTTGTCTTAAAAACCCATTTTCGTAACCTTTTTTTAATGTCGCTCGTGAGCAACATCGTGCATATGTGGCATTATTTAATGTCCAGTGACTGAAAGCAATTACGACCTCGGAGACGGCACAGGTGCACTTTGAATTACGCCGATAGAGACATTAGACAGTTTTAGTATAGCGTTGCTGGCTCTTACGTACGCAATACGCAATAGTATAGCGTACGCTATAAATGACCTGCTCGGACCGAATTTAGTTGTGCGTTACGTTTTTGAGTGAACACCGCGCATGATCTTGGTTAGATTTGCTAGAGCTGCAGAATTCGGCGTGCTTATAGCGCAACCATGCTTATGGAAAGAAATATTGAA